TATACCTCATAATAGTCCGGCAGCAGGTCAACAAACCTGGAAATATAGTCTACCTAATGTTTTTTGATGGATTATATATCTTTAGTTTGTGTAAATTCAGAATCCGGATCATGCCATCCTGGCACCCTTGGGGAAATTCAAATATTCAAGATGGCCGCCATGGGGCATTTTGTGGTTATTTACTTTAATTTAATGGGGCAAAATTCGGGACAGATTTTCTCGAACCTCAGTATGAAGGTGGTTTCTTTAAGAATTAGACCTGCTGAATCCAACGAGCTTGGATATTCCTCCTAAAAGTGACGACTAATTCCGCTAGGGGGCAAAATTCATGTAATGTATTGAAATATAGGTTTTCGTTGTCAATTACTTCGGATATGAACATAAAAACATGTTCTGAGCAAAAGGTATTCCAATCCGATGATATTGTTCCCCCTGTATTCTTATAAGGACACATATTATGCACGGTCAAACACCAACAACTATCGGACCATCGTCACTGGAATACTCGCAGTCGGTAGAACAGTCTGATTCTTCCCATTTCATCATTGACAGTTATTAGATCACTTAAACACGCCGGAAAAGCTGGGGTTTTGTATCCCGCTGGTGAACATTTCCATCCCTTATTCCCGGGATATTCTGGCCGAGAACAAGTGTCCAGACCAATCGCCTACCACAGCCCCTAACATTGTTTTGGACAAAAATATTTTATCGTTAATTACCTTCAGCTCATGTAAAACACTAACCGGATAGCGAGACTTGCATTGGGGTAATGGTTGTTCTCTTCGTCGATTTCCATGATTTTCAACTTCGACAGTGATCGTATTACCGCTAAATTAAACCGATTAGAATCAGTCACTCATTTACTGACTGAACAAGATTGACAAGCTTACACTGGGTAAACTATTTATAAAACGAAAAAATAAGAATAAATGTGTGATATCCAAAATGGCCACGTTTAGTTAAATACTACTGGGAATATTTCAAAATAAACATTGCGTGCATTAGCAGTCATCCTGAATCAATCAGTTATGTGTGCTGGTTTCATTAGATATGTATAGGTGATAAAATTTCAATTATCATGAATTTCTTAAATTTGTTTTTAGGAAATAATTTAAATTTTGGATATGATGTGTAGAAACAGCTATATTTAACGCCCGCTTCCACCGAAGTGATATCGCCAATGCATGCTGTTGTGAGTTACCAGTATTTTATGTAAAATGTTATAAAACCCCAGAAGTTACAATCAGCATTATATTTCTTATATAAAACGTAAAAATGTATATAGTTGTTTTCAATTCTCTCTTTCTTTTTTCAAAATCTTGTTCTTTTACTTTGCCATGAGGTTATTCAACACTCCTTTCCAAAAATCCTGACTCCACTCCTTATAATATTTCGTTGTCCCGGCGATTTGTCTCTGACGCATTCACATGTATGGGCTTTTCTACATCTTCAACAGGAAGGAGCGCGCTTGGATACCCAAAAGTCATGTAGCGTTCCATAAGGTAGATCTTAGTATTCTTTTTGTGGGTTTATATTTGAAAGGATAAAATCAGGAATGGCTGGGACAACATTTATTCATCGGCATGGTAGAACTGTACATCTCGAAAACAACTGCTCACCAAATATTTCTACGCCGTCACCGAATGTAGGGCGAAAGTTATTTTTAGTCTTTCTCTCCACTTTCCTTTTTCCCCCTTTTGCATGGCGATTTTTGTTGACTTTTTGGTGTAGAATCGAAGAAAAGGGTTTGAAAATACATTTTCTACCAGGTTTTGGTGAATATTCATGATTTTGAGGCGGAAGGATACAAGAGTTGAGAGGTTGGTTAGGTTGAAATGTAGGGTCCAAAATTGCATTTTCTTGTTTCTACTTCCAGCTGGTGTATCTCAAGTTTTTCATGGTGAACCTCATACATGCTTTTGGGCAAGAGTTTGCCACATGTTGCTCCATCTGTGGCAGAAAGCGTTCTACCCAACGAAAATTTGGGAAAAAGTTAGAGCCGGTCTAAGAGACGAGAATTAACATTGAAGTCAATGGGCAAACCTTTAGTGATCTGTGGCCATTTAGTTATAACAAGGTATGGAAACACATTAATGATATGAAGAATTGACAGACAAAACACTTAGTTCTTATGGAACTCAGACTAAAAAGTAAACGTATATCAAGAGCCCCCCCCCCCCCAGCATCCCCCGCCACACCGACCCCAAGCGCATGACATACTGCTTTCCTTTATACTATCCCATATACCATTCGTCCCATATACCATTCGACAAAACGTCAAAAAAAAACCCAGCCTACACAGGACGTTGACCACTGCGACGCTGTGGGTAGCCGTGTGTAAATTAAGTCAATGTGCAATCATATTTAACTTCGTGCAATGGACAAGGTATAGCCTTTTCTTTATTGAAGCCATGTTAGATGAAACAGCTTGCGATATCAATATATATACATGGAACATTTACAATTATAGGACAACCTGTACAAATTGACCCATCGTATGATTTGATTTTAAAGACTAAAAACAAAATCAATAATTTGCAATAGTTTTAATAAGTCATTATACATTCATTGTTGTCTTAATACAATGTTTTAACCTATCATTGTGACCATACGATAGTGTGAATTTAGCACCTTTCTATGTAGGCGTATCTTGTATTTAAACAATAGGCTATGTACAATTAAATAAAATATTTTCTAAAAATCGTTTCCAAAATCTGATATCGATCTATGTTTCAGTATCTTTATGCACAGAGATTCAAGTTATTCTTGAGATCAAAGATTAATTTATCACTGTCGTCATCGTGGTGGCTGCCTCGGTAACCTCGGTAATAAGGACGACCGTAATCGTAACCTGTTTCTGTAATAAAAGAAAAACAACAAAACTTAGTTTTTGGTTTGAAAAGAATGAAAGAAACATACCGGGCTATTTCATTTCACAGATAATTTTATCCATGCACTCGTACGTGTGTTAAATTTAAATTGCTATAGGCATGGCATGGTGAAGACCTATTGCGGCCCTATGCACTGAAAAAGTTATACCCCCACTATACTCCAATCACCACCACCGCATGTATGTACTTAATAGATACTAAACGGTAAGATAAATATTTATCTCTCAAAATGAAAAAGAAATATTTATCTCTCAAAATGAAAAAGAACCATTTATGCTAAAATCAAAATAGCGTTCAGCAGCGTTACTTTTGTGGTAAATCAGGCGCTGAAAAATATTTTGTAGGGCCCCACCATCTGCGCTTGGTACCACAAGCACACACTTAATAGTTAATATTGAGTTGGTCATAGGTCATTAAATACAAGGTGCCGAGAAATTTAATCATATTAGACAAAGCAGGGCCAACGGCTTTTGATAAAAGTTGAGGGCGAGGGACGTGCCGTTTTGAGACGGGTATTATATATAATAATTTTGTGCTTACCATATTCAACATCATCATAATCAGGTCTCATGTATCCTGAATATATAAATAGTATTCGGTGTTAAATTGTAATATTCTAAATCATTAGAAAATATTACATTTTCAGTAACAGAAATAACGAATACACAATAAGTTTATTATTCCCACAATTCCTTTAAAAACATATATAAGAATAGTACGGATATTTATGTTTCGCCCTTACTTTAAATTTTGTTTCAATGACAGGGATATATCCTAAATTGAACCCATATACTACAGATTGACACACGTGTGTACATGTTTTAAAACCACAGCGTTACTATGTAAATATGTATAAATATACTATACTGTCCATCTTTATACAATGACATTATTTATTAATAGTCCCAAGACGGACGAAAGGTACTTTAAAATGTTAAAATGTTATTAAACCAGTGTTGAAATCAGTTTGTCTCGGCATACCTTTTTCATCGTTTATCCATCCCAAACTTAGGCTGCCTATCTACAGCTAGCTCCGGCTGAGAATAGGCCCTGAGCTAATTAACCGACATTTTAATTCCTACATCGACGATTTTAGTCGAAAACACTGAGTATGCTTTTAGAAATTTTTAAAAGTATTTATTTCTCTTCTATTGTCATATTGAATGAAATTAAATATGTTTATTTAGCCGCTGTGTGTATGAAAGATGTCAAACTAATCAAAGTCGAATTACAAAATAGTCCTCTAATTATTCAATATGGCGGCGCCCATGAAACATAATATCACAGAGGCGGTTTTGTTTGCGAAAACAAATTTAGGAGTATCTAACCTTGTTTTGAAAGATAAACAGATTGAAACTCTAAAGACAGTTTACAATGGTAAAGAATTTATTGCAATATTACCCATAGCACATATTATATATCGCTTTTACGCGAGTGTCAGCGACATGGCGTGTTTACATAAAACACACGTGCTTGGGTTATTTTTACTCTGTTGTCTAAACAAACAGTGTATAGTCGGTAAGTCCCGCCCCAAAATGATCAAGTGAACGTTTTAAATGGTGGGTAATCAGTGCAGTGTCACATTCTGAGAAGTATGACGTAGATGGCTCGCTGCGTGCAGTATGTCGTTTACCGTGAAACAAAGTAGTGCAGTTTTACGGCTGTGCTAATATTTATGGATATATATATAATATCAGGAATATTGGCAACTGCAGCCAGATACAAAGTATTTTTCAGTGTCTGATTTACCACAAAATTAACGCCGCTGAAAGCTATTTTGATTTTAGTCCAAATGGTTCTTTTTCATTTTGAGAGATAAATATTTATCTTACCGTTTAGTATTCCCGCAATTCCTTTAAAACACCCAGAATTCAAAATACATATACCTATTAGTGTAGTTTTACTTTAAATACTTACGTCGTTTCCTGTATCTTCGTCGTGGATAATATCCATATCGTCGGTAATGTCGTCGTCGTCGTCGTGCTTTTCTGGCTCGCCTTGCTTTTCTTCCTTTCCTGCCTCGTCTTGTTTTTCGCCCTGTTCTACCTTTTCGACCTCGTCTTGCTTTTCGACCTTTCTTTCCTCGTCTTGCTTTTCGACCTTGTCTACCTTTCCTGCCTCGACTTGCTTTTCGACTTTTCTTGCCTCGTCTTGGTTTTCTACCTCGTCTAGCTTTCCTGCCTCGTCTTGCTTTTCGCCCTTGTCTTCCCTTCCTGCCTCGACTTGCTTTTCGTCCTTTCCTGCCTCGTCTAGCTTTTCGTGCTTTCTTGCCTCGTCTTGCTTTTCGGCCTCGTCTAGCTTTTCGACCTCGTCTTGCTTTTCGACCTTTCTTGCCTCGTCTTGCTTTTCGTCCTTTCCTGCCTCGTCTTGCTTTTCGTCCTTTCCTGCCTCGTCTTGCTTTTCGGCCTTTCCTGCCTTGTCTTCCCTTCCTGCCTCGACCTGCTTTTCGTCCTTTTTTGCCTCGTCTAGCTTTTCGTCCTTTCCTGCCCCGTCTTGTTTTTCGACCTCGTCTAGCTTTTCGACCTTTTTTACCTCGTCTTAGTTTTCTACCTCGTCTTGGTTTTCTACCTTGTCTAGCTTTCCTGCCTCGTCTTGGTTTTCTACCTCGTCTAGCTTTCCTGCCTCGTCTTGCTTTTCGCCCTTGTCTTCCCTTCCTGCCTCGACTTGCTTTTCGTCCTTTCCTGCCTCGTCTAGCTTTTCGTGCTTTCTTGACTCGTCTAGCTTTTCGACCTCGTCTAGCTTTTCGACTTCGTCCTTTTCGTCCTCGTCTTGCTTTTCGTCCTTTCCTGCGTCGTCTAGCTTTTCGTCCTTTCCTTCCTCGTCTTATTTTTCGTCCTCTTCTACCTTTTCGACCTCGTCTTGCTTTTCGACCTTTGTTGCCTCGTCTTGCTTTTCGTCCTTTCCTGCCTCGTCTACCTTTTCTGCCTCGTCTTGGTTTTCTACCTTGTCTAGCTTTCCTGCCTCGTCTTGGTTTTCTACCTCGTCTAGCTTTCCTGCCTCGTCTTGCTTTTCGCCCTTGTCTTCCCTTCCTGCCTCGACTTGCTTTTCGTCCTTTCCTGCCTCGTCTAGCTTTTCGTGCTTTCCTGCCCCGTCTTGCTTTTCGACCTCGTCTAGCTTTTCGACCTTTCTTACCTCGTCTTAGTTTTCTACCTCGTCTTGGTTTTCTACCTTGTCTAGCTTTCCTGCCTCGTCTTGGTTTTCTACCTCGTCTAGCTTTCCTGCCTCGTCTTGCTTTTCGCCCTTGTCTTCCCTTCCTGCCTCGACTTGCTTTTCGTCCTTTCCTGCCTCGTCTAGCTTTTCGTGCTTTCTTGCCTCGTCTAGCTTTTCGACCTCGTCTAGCTTTTCGACTTCGTCCTTTTCGTCCTCGTCTTGCTTTTCGTCCTTTCCTGCGTCGTCTAGCTTTTCGTCCTTTCCTGCCTCGTCTTATTTTTCGTCCTCTTCTACCTTTTCGACCTCGTCTTGCTTTTCGACCTTTGTTGCCTCGTCTTGCTTTTCGTCCTTTCCTGCCTCGTCTACCTTTCCTGCCTCGTCTACCTTTTCTGCCTCGTCTTGCTTTTCGGCCTTTCCTTGCTTTTCGCCCTTTCCTGCCCCGTCTTGCTTTTCGTCCTTTCTTGACTCTTCGACCCTTTCTGACTTTTCGACCTCGTCTACCTTTCTTGCCTCGTCTTGCTTTTCGAACTCTTCTTCTTTTCCCTCCTCGTCTTGCTTTTCGTCCTTTCCTGCCTCTTTTTGCTTTTCGACCTCTTCTACCTTTCCTGCCTTTTTTTGTTTTTCGACCTCGTCTACCTTTCCTGCTTCGTTTAGCTTTTCGTCCCCGCCTACCTTTCCTGCCTCGTTTTGCTTTTCGTTCTTTCCTGCCTCGTCTTGCTTTTCGACCTCTTCTTCCTTTCCTGCCTCTTCTTGCTTTTCGACCTCTTCTACCTTTCCTTCCTCGGTTTGCTTTTCGACCTCGTCTACCTTTCCTGCCTCGTCTTGCTTTTCGACCTCGTCTACCTTTCCTTCCTCGTTTTGCTTTTCGACCTCGTCTACCTTTCCGGCCTCGTTTTGCTTTTCGACCTCTTCTACCTTTCTTGCCTCGTCTGATTTTTCGTCCTCGTCTTGCTTTTCGTCCTTTCCTGCCTCGTCTTGCTTTTCGTCCTTTCCTTCCTCGTCTTGTTTTTCTTCCTTTCCTGCCTCGTCTTGCTTTTCGTCCTTTCCTTCCTCGTCTTATTTTTCTTCCTTTCCTCGCTTTTCTTCCCTTCCTTGATTTTCTTCCTTTTCTTCCTTTCCTGCTTCTTCGAACTTTTTTTCCTTTTCTCGCTTTTCGCCTTTTGCCGCCCCGTCGTCCCTTCCTTGCTCTTCGCCCTTTGCTTCCCCTTCGCCCTTTTCTTCCTTTTCTTACTTTTCGAACTTTCCTGCCTCGTCGCCCCTTTCTTCCTTTCCTACCTCGTCTTGGTTTACGGCCTCGTCTTGCCTTTCGTCCCTTCCTGCCTCGTCGCCCCTTTCTGCCTTTTCGACCGCGTCTTGCTTTTTTTCCCTTTCGACCTCTTCTACCTTTTCGGCCTTTTCTGGCTTTTCGCCCCTTTCTTCCTTTCCTACCTCGTCTTGCTTTACGGCCTCGTCTACCTTTCCTGCCTCGTTTTGCCTTTCGTCCTTTCCTGCCCCGGCGCCCTTTTACGCCTTTTCGACTGCGTCTTGCTTTCTTTCCCTTTCGACCCCTTCTTGCTTTACGACCTTTACTAGCTTTTCGTCCTTTTCTTCCACCTCGTCCTCGTTTAACTTTTTTGCCATCGACGTATTCCCAATCATATTCCCATCTTTCTGTTAGAAATATATAATTCAGAAATTGAAGCAGAAAGGCGTTAAATTAGGTTGATCTGATTTATATATAGATTTGATTTTTTTATTATTATTATTTCAAAATATTAATCGTTTGTAGTCTTGTAAATTATTTCATTTCAAATTTCGAATTACTTTGTCACCAGAGAGACGAAAAATCCCAAAGTATACACCCAGAAGAGTATCCATAGATCATGCGCCACACTTACAACCTATTTGTTTCGACCTTCTCGCTGTACAAATTTTATTATGAGCGGATCCCAGTAAAACATTTCAAAATATGTCAAGACAAACTACCCTTACCTTTTCTTACTCGTCTTCTACCTCCTCGACTAGCTGTTTAAAATAACAAACAATAAAGAATGTCAACAAGAAATATTGTATAAGGATCGCATTTACAAATTTGGAGAATAAGCTAGCAAAAGTTCTAAAGAAATTAAACTGTACGGTTAAGAACTGGTTAATTGCAACGGGATAGGAATGTAAAACTAATTTTATGAAAACAAAGACATCCAATATCAACTCACTTTTTTTTCCTTTCCTTCCCCTTCGGCCTTTTCTTCCTTTCCTTGCTTTTCGTCCTTTCCTACCTCGTCGGCCTTTCCTGCCTCGTCGACCCTTTCTGCCTTTTCGACCTCGTCTTGCTTTCTTTCCCTTTCGACCTCTTCGTGCTTTCCTGCCGCGTCGGCCTTTCCTTCCTTTCCTGCCTTTGCGGCCTTTACTAGCTTTTCGTCCTTTTTGTCCGCCTCGTCGTCGTTTAACCTTTTTGCCATCGACGTATTCCCAATCATATTCCCATCTTTCTGTTAGAAATATATAATTCAGAAATTGAAGCTTAAAGGCGTTAAACCTCTTATATGAGGAGTCAATAAGAATATATATTTTTTTCGTAGGCATCGATCAAAAAACAGCAAAGCGGGTTCAAAATGGCAGATTTAACCTTTATAATATTGAAAAAACTCAACTAACCTACTCTTCGTCTTCGACCTTTACCTTTACTGGCTGTAATAAACATATCATAATGTCATCAACATTTGTCAATTTGGAAAATGTTATATTTATGAGTTATATTTAATGTAATCGTAGGCCAGATAAAGATAAAACTGATAACATATGATCTGTAGATTGATGTGTACAGATTCTGAAACATAAGACCGTACAATCCATGCGATTTAAAGGTCTTTAACATATTTACCTCTTTGTCCTTTACTGCCTTTTCGACCTCGTCTTGCCCTCCTTCCTTTTCGTCCTTTTCTTCCTTTTCGACCTCCCCTAGCTTTTCGACCTTTTCTTCCCTTTCGACTTTTCCTAGCTTTTCGACCTTTTCTTCCTTTTCGACCTTTCCTTGCTTTTCGACCTTTTCGTCCTTTCCTTCCTCGCCTGACTTTTCGTCCTTTTCTTCCGCCTCGATTTTTCCTTCCTTTTCGACCTCCCCTAGCTTTTCGACCTTTTCTTCCTTTTCGACCCTTCCTAGCTTTTCGTCCTTTCCTTCCCTTTCTGCCTTTTCGTCCTTTCCTGCCTCGTCTGCTTTTTCGACCTTTTCTAGCATTTCGTCCTTTTCTTCCGCCTCGACGTCTTTTCACTTTTTTGCCATCAACGTATTCCCATTCCCATTCCCAATTTTCTGTTGAAGAGATAAATAAAAAAATTAGCTGTGTTGAATGGACTCTTGGTTTTAAAGTTGATCAAAAAACATGATAAAAAATTTACTGTAAATGATTTTGGGATTGCCGTCTTCGATCGAATAAATGTTGGTTTACAAAATAAAAACAAAGAAAAATGAATATTTTGGAACCAAAATGACTTTACCTTTTCGGACTCGTTTGCCATTTCGACCTCGTCGACTTGCTGTTAAAATAAACGACATGCAATTAATAAAATGAATACTAATACTGTCTAAAAGTCGATTCATGGTCAAATTCAATACATAATACATACAGGGACAAGAAATATGTGTAACTGGTGAAAACAGCCCATTATTTACAATAAAAAAAATAACAACAGAAAGAAAATTAAAACATCATAACATTAAAATAAATATTTACCCTTTCGTCCTTTTCTGCCTTTTCGTCCTTTCCTAGCTTTTCGTCCCTTCCTTCCCTTTCTGCCCTTTCGTGCTTTTCTACCTCCTCTGCCTTTTCGACCTTTCCTAGCTTTTCGTCCCTTTCTTCCGCCTCGTCGTCGTTTAACCTTTTTGCCATCAACGTATTCCCATTCATATTCCCAATTTTCTATTAAAAGAATATAATTCAGAAATTGAAGCTTAAAGGCATAAAACCGATATTTACGTCAATATAATATTGAATTGGAGTGATCTTGATGAAAGAATGAACAGAAGTCGATTTGTTTACAAATTCTATTTTTAAGCATCCAGAAAAGAGTCCGTAGACCATGTGCCACACCCTCAGCCTAATTGTTTCGGCCTTCACTTCTCTGCAGACAAATATTTCAAAACAAATTATATTTACCTTTTCTTACTCGTCTTCTACCTCCTCGACTAGCTGTTTACAATAACAAACAATAAACAATTTTAACAAGGAATACTGTTATAATCTGATTTACAACTTGGCTATAAAATATACTAGAGGAATTAAACGGGTCTGTTGAAAATAGGCTAAATATGTAAGGTATAGGAATGTAAATATAAAATAAAACAATTATATAAAAACAATAAAAAACATTATTTACTCACCTTTTCTTCCTTTCCTGCCCCTTTGAGCTTTTTTTCCTCTCCTTGCTTTTCGCCCTTTCCTGCCTCGTCGACCTTTACTACCTTTTCTCGCTTTCCTGCCTCTTCGACCCTTTCTACCTTTCCTACCTTTGCGTCCTTTTCTGATTTTTCGACCTTTCCTGCCTCTTCCGCCTTTGCGTCCTTTTCTGGCTTTTCGGCCTTTCCCGCCTCTTCTACCTTTCCTGGCTTTTCGGCCTTTCCTGCCTCGTCGACCCTTTCTGCCTTTCCTCGCTTTTCGACCTTTCCTGCCTCGTCGACCCTTTGTACCTTTTCTGCCCTTCCTGCCTCTTCGACCTTTGCGACCTTTTCTGGCCTTTCGGCCTTTGCGTCCTTTTCTGGCTTTTCTGGCTTTTCGGCCTTTGCGTCCTTTTCTGCCCTTTCGTCCTTTCCTGCCTCTTCCACCTTTGCGTCCTTTTCTGGCTTTCCGGCCTTTCCTGCCTCTTCGACCCTTTCTGCCTCGCCTCGCTTTTCGTCCTTTCCTGCCGCCTCGACCTTTTCTTCCTTTCCTACCTCGCCTTGCTTTACGACCTCGTCTACCTTTTCTACCCCTCCTTGCATTTCGTCCTTTCCCGCCTCGTCGACCTCTGCTTGACGATGACCCATCTATAATTTTGAAATTTGGATCATAATAAGAGTTATGTATATTGAACTACTACTATATGTGGGGGTTGTTTTCAATCAGACGTAACGAATTACCGAGGTTCGTCCAGTATTTCAATGAAAATTATTCGTAGACACATCTACAAAAGCAAGACCACCTCCACAAACACACCCCTACTTCTCACTACTCATAACGAATGTATAAAATGACCTAATAATACATTCAACACAATAAAATATAATAGAAAACCCCGTTATCAGGGTGTCAACGCTATTTAAATGTTAAACTGAATAACTTCAAATAATCATAATGGAGAACATTTGACGGCAAGTGTTCCGAAAGGTCTAAACCTAATTTCCCTAGTGCATGAGCATGGCGGCTGTCATAAAGTGGAGCTATGAGTAGTAGGTACCACCATGACACTTGCCATAACGTAATACCGGGACCCGCATTATTAGTTTACTCTTGGACGAAATATTCAAG